TTGGACGAAACTTTGCCTGCAGGTTCTTCAAAGCCGGTCATTTCAGCACCGCCTACATCCCCCGACCCGTCCCCACCCCTCCTTCGGGGTATTATGATAACACCCGCAAAGTTGGGCTGCGAAGGACTAGGCTGCTAGCAGAACCAAAGCATGCTGAGGGAAGGCGAAGCCCTTGAGAGTTTCCAGGCCTGTTTAGGAAAGCCGATGACGTCGGGATGGGGGTACCTTTGCCCAAGTGTCCCTTGGGAGTTTTTCTGTCCTGGATTGGGTTTGCCAGATCATTTCCCACCAGCTGCCTGGCCTGGACTTGCTTCTTTCAACTTTAAGTTGCAATTCATACATTTTCCAGTATGAATACATGTTCCTCTGGTCTTGACTGGAGAAGGTCTGGCAGGGCCACCGACTGTCCCTGGATCTGAGCAATGCCACCCCAAAGACCAACAATCCCTTTAGTAGAAAGAACCTCTCAGGAGGCCTCAGCCCAAGGCCTTTGGCAGCAAGGACCCATTCAGTGCGTGAGCCTGGAGTCCCAGGTCGCAGACAATACAGGAGGGTGAGGAAACAATGGGGGAAGGCGACACAAACCATCCCAGGCGTTTGTCCTCGGGCATTGTGCCTTTAGTGGTGTAATCCAGGACCCTCAGGTAATTCAATACTTCGGAGCCAAACTTGTGCAAAAGGTACATTCCTGTCATCTCCCGGATTCACCTTGGTGACAGCTCATAAACCAGAACTCTTAGATGTCCAGACAACCAGCTAGCAGCGTTCCTTGTGTCGGTGCCTCCAGGCACGCAGGAGGCTGCGGGGTACATTGGCTGGGCAAACAGGGAAGCCGGAAGAGTAGTTGCTCCTTGGGTGCAGTAGTATGTTTAACTCCCCCAGGCAGGCCCTTTTGGGACTGAGCCTTTTTCTCCCCCTCCCCTCCGCCCCTAGACTGTGGGATGGACGCCCGTGCTAGCCTGCAGCAGGATCCTCGGTCCCTGAGCCAAGCTGGAATTGGTTAGGCCCTCAGCTCTGGCAAGGAGACCACACAGGCGCCGCCGGAGGGCAAGGCTGACCACCTCGCTGAGACTTTATTGTGTGAGTTATGGCGACCAATTGGGTGGCTCTCTGGACGCAATCGGCCTCTTCCTCCGGCTCTGGGGCGCGAGCGGGGGTGGGGTGAGTGTGTGGGTGTGTGGGGGTGATAGGGTGGGGGTGGGGGAAGTCTAGGGCTCTTCAGGGCACTATTAATTCCCTCCGTCTCAAGCATTGGGACAAGCTCGCCACTCTCTGTTCTTTCCTGGGAGGTGGGAAAAGGCATAAGTTTCAACTCCGATTTTAGAGGCTCAGGGGAACCCAAGCCCTAGGTATCCGATAGTTCTCATTTTGTAAGAATTCTCCTTTCTTTACTGGAGAGTCCTTGGCCTGAAATTTTGGTTTTAAGAATCCCAGCCCTCTCAGGGCCTCTGCCTTACGCACGCACGAGAGATTCCTAGGTAGTTATAGGTCTTAGAGTGCAGCTTTAGACTCTGGCTGCCCTAGAGTGATGAGCCAGGAGAGATAAGAAAGCTCGACTCTCTCTCTCTCTCTCTGTCTCTGTCTCTCTGTCTCTCTCTCTGTCTCTCTCTCTCTCTCTCTCTCTCTCTCTCTCTCTGTCTCTCTCTCTCTCCCTCTCCCTCGCTCTCGCTCTCCCCTCCCCTCCTCCTCCTCCTCCTNCTCTCTCTCTCTCTCTCTCTCTCTCTCTCTCTCTCTCCCCCTCCCCCTCTCCCTCTCCCCCCCCCTCCCCCCCCCCCCCCCTCCTCCTCCTCCTCCTCCTCCTCCTCCTCCTCCTCCTCCTCCTCCATCTCCTCCTCTCCCTCCTCCTCCATCTCCTCCTCTTTCTTCTCCTTCTTCCCCACGTCATCTCCCGAGTTTATAACTTTTGAGATCTTGTAGGGAAAGGGCTTTTCGAGAAGCTGGTGACTGAAGCTGAAAACTGGAGACCCGGAGGAAAGGTGCACGGTGGGAAAGAGGCTTGACTGAGAATGTGGCAAAAAAGCATCTGGCTGAGGCCCCGAATGGCAAACTCTGCCAATGTCGCCAAACGCCCAGGAGATGGCGAGCGTGCTCCACGCCTGGAGAGGCGCCGCCGCACGGTCAAGATCAACAGTGAAGGGCGGTAGGGCCGGCTTGGGGTCGCCAGAGCAGGCGGTCATGGCCCGCTGCCAAGGCGCTACGGACAGTTTTGGAAAGCCTGAATTGTAGCAGCAGCTGACCCAGACAGCCGAGTCAAGGGACCTGACGCGAGGAAGCCTTGTGGCCGCGTTTTTTGTTTGACCTTCAGCCTCTGTCCCAACGCCCTTTTCACCCCTTGAATCACGAATCATCTGCCGATCTTGGTCCCAACCCCAATCGCTCATAATACGCCAAGTTTCTGAGCAGCTCTCTGATTCTAACCGAAGAAAAAGCCTTTCTCCAAACTCCCTTGGCCTTCCGGGCTCCCCACGGGCCTCGCTTCCTGGGCCTCAGCCACTTACCCCTTGCACTCCTCCTCCCGCAATCCCGAATATAAAAGGCACACATATAAATAACAAAGCCTTCATCTGTTCCTCATTTAGCCTTCAATCCAAATACCACCAGAGAGCATTTGAGCGCAGTTTTAATCTTCAGCAAACCCCATTTCTCTGAGGCTCAGCGAAACTGACGTGTAACGGCTGATGAAAGGGAAACCTCCAGGCAATTCCCTCGACCCGATACAGGAAACCTGAGAAACGGACCTGAGAGATGAAGTGTGGCCTGGGAGACTAGAACCTACAAAAAAGAAATGAGGGGGCCGGGAGAACGGTGGTTGGAAGAAAGCTAAAGTCCCCCCCCCCCCCGCTTATTTTCTTGATGAAACACATCTTGTGAGCAAAATAGCGAAGATATTGAGTGATGCTTCCCTAAGTGTGACCTCCGGGATGATGTGACCCGCCCTTTTCAGGGGTTTGTCCTCCACAGATTGAACTACACTCTGTATTTATACTTGTCTACCTCTGCCAATATCTCCTCCTCTATAAACGAAGTTGGCCTCTGTAGTTCGTAGTAAAATGTGAAACAAGCCAAGTTGGATCTGAGAAAACGAAAGTACTTCCCAACCTTAAGCCCCTGTGTTTTCTCCCTACCACAAAAATTTACATACTGTGTGAGCTTTCAGAAATCTGTTTAACTAACTTTCGCCTCTGAAAGTTAGCTCCTGCTAGACTGTAGTGGTAAAAAGAAGGAACTCCGTCTTTTTGTGACCATTGCCCTGGGTGGCAGAGAGAACTTGAAAAAGTTCTCAATACCTAAAACTGTGTCTAGCTGTTAAGATGTACAATAGTGACTTCAGGTGTCCATTGCTGCCTGCAGGATGGGGTGTCAGAAATGTTTCTGTTTTGATTGTCAAAAATGGATATGGCTTTCTCAAATTTCTGGATCTTCCTAGTGAAGATATTTATAATGGACCCTCTTTCAGGTCCCAAACGTCCTAGTGAGTTTGCCTCTATCCAAGCTCCCACCTTCACATTGATTAAAAAATAAATAAAATTCGTAAATGAACTGATGATATTGAAAGAAATAAAATTTATTGATTTTAATGAGTTGGTCTGATTAAAAAATGATCATTTTAGACAGATGATAACCTCATTTTAAAACATCACTGTTTGTGTTAGAGGGAGGTGGGCAGAAATAGAACATGGAAGTTTCAGAGACCAGAGCTGGTGGTGTTTCCTTCATCTACAGATGCCGAAGAGAGCACGGTTTTATAATAAATAAGAACAGCTTTGAGAGACTTCACAGCCTTGAAAATCACAAATGTATGAAGACTCAGTGGAAACAGAGGGTTCTTTTTATTTATATCTCCCTAGGAGTAAAAAGTGATTTTTTTAAATGCTCAAAGCACAGCTCACACACATTGCATCTACAAAAATAATTTCTCAGTCGCATAAACATGCAACATTTGAAAGTAGTTCAGCGTCACTTTCAGAAGTGCCTTTTTCTTGCTGGTCCTTAGAGCTCCATATTTTAAGAATGTGTTAGGTGTTTTAAAGCTCTGGGAGACCCATGCGTTCAGACAATTAATTTCTTCACTAGGATCTGGGTAGAAGTTCCCACCCATGGCCTCACTGGCTCAGTCTCTTTCCGAGGATTGGGGAGGAGATGGCCTCAGTTCCACTCCCACAGGCCCGAGGAGAGCAATGGATTTATACCATCTAGGAGACACGCTGCTGCCAACTGTAGGTGTTTAAATAGCTGCTTCTAGAGTTGGAGAAATGAAGGCTTTCAAGAGGGCATACTGTTTCCAGATTAAAAGATTACAGCTACAAGGCACGCTAACAAACACACAAAACATTAAATGAGATTGCCAAAGATAGGGAAGACCGTCTTCATTTCAATATTAATAAGGTAGCTGCTTTTAAAGCCACCAGGTGCCTTCAATCTCCAAACTTCAGACTCTACTGGAGACCCTACTTCACTGAGTGCCTGGAGCTGTTACCACTTGCCTGGGGGCAACTTGTGAGAGCTAATGATTCAATTACACAATCACAGGGTACGAAAGGCTGAAAACAATTCTGGTCTAATGGATTATGAGCATAGGCAGTTCTGAAAACACATATAAAGTCCTATTAAAAAAAAACCCTAAATCCAATGGGCACTTCTCAAATTCATTTTGGGGGATTATTGAAAAAAATACTTCAAGTTTTCTTTTTATACTGGCCTGGAGGGAGAAACAATTTTTTTTAAAGAATCCTAATAACAAGCCTAGACAAGAACAAAACCAATAAGCAAGAAAGAAGCAGAATTACAAAGTCAGATTGCATCAAAAAGTTTTAGAGCCAGATGAAGGGGGAGAGAGAGAGAGAGAGAGAGAGAGAGAGAGAGAGAGAGAGAGAACTGTTTCACAATGTTTGCCATCCTAGGCAGGGAAAAGGGAAATTAAATACATTTTCAAGTCTTTCCAAAGGTATTTTTGGAGACAAGGAAAGCCTTTAAACCGTCCGTGGCCAGCCTGGCCCACATCAGGAGACAGTGTCTTTGAGCTTGGACACGATTTTCTTGTCTTTCACTCTCCGATTCTGAAACCAAATGGTCACTTGTCTCTCCGAGAGGTTGGTGGCAGCCGAGATCCGCCGCCTCTTGTCCTTGTTAATGAACTTGTTAATGGCGTACTCGTTCTCCAGTTCTTTGAGCTGCAGTTTGGTGTAAGGTACCCTTTTCTTCCTTCCCCGTCTGTAGACACACATGTCGGGCTGATTTAAAGCCACATCCCCTGGCACAAACAACAGCATGGGAAAAATTAGACTGCGGTACTTGGTGCGCCTAAAGCTTCGGATTGTGTTAGGTGACTGTATTTGTGGTGTATGCATTAGTACTGGGCAGGGGCAGAGAATAAAGAAAATGAGATTGTTTATACTTTATTATTATTTACATAGACATATTATTTACACATTATTAAAGGAAGACTATTTGCACTTCAAGACAAAGGCTAATTTGATGGATCATGATGGTTTTTCAAACCGGCATTTTAACAAGCCTGGGATTTTATGGTCTGGTTATTGGGGAAAGCTCATAAGGGCAGTTTCTGCAATTGCCAGTTGCACACACACACACACACACACACACACACTTCAGATCTTTTACTCAAGCTTTAATTTCTGTTCCTGTGTTTGGGGATTTATGGGCTCTAAGCTTTAGTGGTCATTGGAACCCCACTTGAAAAACTGGGTGCTCAACTTTGACACCTTTTAGGAAAAAAGCCTCTTAAGTAAGGAGGTTGGGAAAGGGAGAGAGAGGAGGAAGGGAGGGAGGGAGAGAGGAGAGGAACGGAGAGAAGGAGGAAGGAGCAAGAGAAGCAAAGGTAACTAAAGTTCTTGAACTGCAGGGCAAAAGCACCTTGCTGTATGGGGAAGGGAAAAATTGCAGAGGCGGTTTTAATTGGGAAAGTTACAGATTACAGAAACGACACCAACTTTTCTAGAGTGTTAAACCCGGTCGGGTCTGTAGGGCTTTTCTTTCCCCCTTCTCTCCCCACCTCCCCACCCCCGTAGTGTTGTTCTCTTTTCTACCTTGCTCCTACCTGGAAAGGACGATTTCCAAAAATGGGACCCCTGAGGCTGGTCCTTGGCACAGTACACCTGGCTGTTCCACCCGTTGGCTAGCGTCCAGGACTGGTAGCCCTCCATGGAGATGTACGCCTCGTGCCGAGGTTCCCCGGATCCAAAAGTGGACACCATGTCGATGTACCCAGGCACGTGCTGATAGGGACTTGTGTAGCCCTGGTAGAAGGACACTTCCTTGGCTCGCGCGGGCACCTCGTTGGTCGGTACGCTGCTGCTCGCCAGGCCCGACACGTCCATGTACTTCTCCACCGGGAAACCTCCGAGAGAGGCGTGCGGCGACGACTTGAGAGCGTTCTGTTGTAAGCCCACACCGTGCGACATGCGGCAGCTGTAGTAGCCATTGCCGAAGTGGTAGCCGTAGCCCAGCGCCGGAGCGCCCGGGGGTGCTGCAGCGGTCGCGGCGGCCGCTGGCGCAGGACACTCTTTAGCTACCGGAGCCTCGGGGCGAGTGGCGATCACAGCCGAGGATGACGACGACGAGGAGGAGCCTGTGCGCTCTGAGGTCCCCGGGTACGCGAAGCTGGAGGCCGCCGCCGCCGCTGCAGCTGCTGCCGCCGCTGCCGCCGCCGCGCGTCCGGAATGTGTCCCCGCGAACACCGGCGCCGACAGGAAGCCGCGACACTGGCCCGGCGCCGCCACAGAGGACGAGGAGGAGGCCGGCGCCGCCCCAGCGGCCCCGCCGTCCGCCCGCAGCCCGTCCATGTCCCAAGTCCCCGAGCGGCTCATGGCCCGGCCTGGCCCGGCCCAGGCCCCGGCCTCGGCCCCGCGCAGGACACCATGGCGCACCGCGCCTCCTCCCTCCTTGCTGTGCTCCGCGCCGCGCTCGCACCCGCCCTCTCCCTCCCGTCCTCTCTCCCTCCGCGAGCCTCCCGCCTCCTGTCCGCCCGCCCGCCCTTCAACAGGTTAGCTCATCGCGGGACGTTTATAAAAACGAAGTTCAGGTTGGGAGGGGGCCTGGGCCGGTCGGGGGGCCGCCTCCCGCCCCGAGGGCGCCGGCCGAGGACCGTGCCATTGGCTGCTCCCGGCCACGTGGGGGTGGGGGCGCGGGCGAGCCAGGCTCCCAGCCGGGATCTGGCTGGACCCACCCACAGGGCCCCCACCCCTCCTCAGGCCTTTGGGAGGCCCACCTCCCATTC